GTGAGATGCGTGCGTGCTGTTATATATAGTTGTAGTTCATTAATTCTCATTGCTGGAAGCTTTCTGCTTGTCTGAATACACTGTAATATCTAATCTTTTATGAATGGATGCATGGGTTGTGTCTGAGTTTGGGCAATTATGAACAAGCTGTTGTGAACATTGGTGTATACAAGCATGCATTTAGGCTGGCTATCCCTAAGAGAAGGACTTCTATGTAACTGCTCAGTGGGTGATATCAACCTGTCTTACAAAGCAGCTGTACAGATTTACGTTTTCAGTTGCTGTGTGTGTTTGCTCCAATTCTCCCATGTCCTTGCCAACACTTAGCGTTATTAATCTTTTTAATTTTAGTTATTCTGGTGGTTATATAGTGGCATCTCACTGTGGCTTTAGTTTGCATTTCCCTAGTGACTAATGAGGGTGAGCCCATTTTCATCTATTTATTGCATATTTATGGATTAGAGGCTTTGGCAACTCCTTCCTGATCTGACTCATACCGAAATTACAGCCAAATGGAATAAAGTCCCTGACAGATGATGCTGGTTAGTCTTATCTCCTTTATTGATTTCATTTGGATTTTGGGTCCCCAGAGCAGGTCTGAACATTCTTTTTGTTTTTTAATTTTTAAGTGATCTCTATGCCCAACATGGGGCTCAAACTCATAATCCCAAGATCAAGAGTTACATGCTTTATTGCCTGAACCAGCCAGACACCCCTGAACATTCTTAATACTAATGACAGCTATAATTTGTTGAGTGCCCACTGTGTTCCAGGCACTGAGCTATGTGCTTGACATGCATAATGTCTCCTAATCCTCACAACCAGCTTATGAGGTTGCTACTGTTATTATCTTCATTGTATGTATGAAGAAACTAAGGTGGGGGAGGCTAAGTAACCTACCTAAGGTCTTATGACTCACGACAAGGTGCATAACCTAGATTCACATCAATACCCTTAGCCACCATAACATGCTGCCTCCCAAAGATGGAAACATTCGGCTACATTAAAAAAAAACAAACTTAAAAATGCTTAAAAACCAAATAATAAAACAGAACTGTAAAATGGAGAAAAATAGTTACAAGGTTTAAAACAAAGGTTTAAGTTACTAAATATGGAAAGAGTTCTTACAAATTAAGAAAAGGATGCAATTAAAAAAATGGTCAATAGTTTCTGGGGTCAGGTAAGTCTAGGAAATTCAGCAGGTTTTTCACATTCTTTTACCCCAACGATGTATATAAGCACATCTATGACTCTTAAGCTCCACACTAAAAACTTACTTTAACACAGCATTTTCTAAGCCTATTTGACCAAAATAGGTGTTAGCATCTAAATAATTATAATTCTGTGGAACAGACTTTCAAGCATGTTGAACTCTATAATAACCACTGCTTCCTCTGGTTTCTGGAGTGGTAAAGCTTTCAGCAAAGGAAATGAAATTAGTTTTGTCCAGGGCTTCTCAACCTTGACGCTATTGACATTTTGGGCTGTATAACTCTTTGTTGTGGGCTTGTCTCAGGCATTGTGCTGAGCTCAGCTGCATCTTTGGTCTCCACTCAGTAGATGCCAGATGCCACTAGTACCACCCCACCCCCCACCCCCAGTTGTGACAACCAAAAGTGTCCTCTGGGAGCCAGGATTCCGGTTCCCCATAAGAACCATTGGTCTAGCCTGATTTCTAAAGAACTTATGGTGTTCCCCATGATTACCTCCTACCTGAGTGCTCCCCAAACTGCATAGCATTTCACTACATGTTGGTTTCTGTGCCTTACGACAGCCTCTATTCTTTGTTAAGAGAGTATCAGTCCATGTCTTGTCTTCAGGTGTCTCCTGTTTGTTAGAACTCCTTTTACCTCCAGGCACAGCAAACCATGTACAGTTCCCCAGGCATGGAACTTTCCGCCTTTCCATCCTCTCGGTGGAATTAAGCTCTCTTCTTCAGTCTCCATACTCACTGCACACCCTTCTATCAGACCCCAACACACATTTTACTTATTGAGGTGCCTGTCTCCCCAGTTCCTTGACAGCAGAAACTGGGTCCTGTTCACCTTCTGACTCTCAGCACTGAGGAGGCACTAATCAATATATATGAACAAAGGAGCAAAATATAACTGAGTATGGGTTAAGCAGGGACCTAGGTGGATTTCTAACAACACTGAATCCATTGGAAACCTCTTTACCAGTTTCCTCCTAGGAATGTTCTCCTTGCCGGTCTCCAGGAAGACAAGCTTCCTTCTTGAGAGAAGTCAAACTACCACAGAAGGTACCAATTTTGTGTTTCTCTCTCTCAGACACGAATATGACATCATCTGCTCAGTCGGCATGTCCAGGCCTTTCCCGATAGTTTTCTCATTCCAAACTGAGGGAGAAAAGCCCTTTTCCCTTGATGTCAGCATTTCTGCAAGCCCTAGTTTATTCTAGCGGGTGACACTTTTTATCCTTGGATATGTTTGCATCTTCCTTTCCATGTTTTGGGAATCCCTTTTGGATCTGAGTTTCTCAGAGCACTCTCTTCCCCCAAGCATTGAATTAGTGTCTTTTTTTTTTTTTTAATGTTTTTATTTATTTCTAGAGGAGAGAGGAGACAGCGTGAGCAGGGGAGGATCAGAGAGAGAGGGAGTCACAGACTGAAACAGGCTCCAGGCTCTGAGCTGGCAGTCAGCACAGAGCCCGACACGGGGCTCGAACCCACGAACCGCGAGATCATGACCTAAGCGAAAGTTGGCCGCTTAACCGACTAAGCCACCCAGGTGCCCCTGAATTAGTGTCTTTTAAGTATTTCCTGTCTGGGATTATTCGAAGGTTTACAAACAAAGTTTAATTCTTGGAAAATCTCTAACTCTTACCAGAATTGTCCAAGATGGTGGCAGTGGATGGAAAGAAAGGGACGGGTTTGAGAAACTTGAGCAATGGCAAATGACAAGACTTGACAACCATTTGGAAATGAAGAAGGGATTTCCATGCTGGGATGGTTAGAGCCTGAGGTTTCCATGGGAGACAAGGTGAGGATGGAGTGGAGGGAAATGGATATAAGAGCTGAGGCTCTGGATGGGGCAGGGGACTGTTGGTGTGCAGGTGGCTGCAGAAGCTGAAAGCAGATGAGCGTTCAGATCACATGTGCTGCTGGCAGAGACACATTAAAGATGGCCAGCAAGAAAAGGACATGAAGAAGATTGTGACGGAGCAGCTGGAGACAGAGGGGGATGGGTCAGAGGCCACTGGAGAAGGAATTTTGGGACAAAAGGGGTGGCCAGCAGCTTTAAGGGATACAAGGAGGTCAGCTCCTATAAGGACAGAACAGTGCCCGCTGACTCAGCAGCAGAGGGTCTCTGAGCACTATGGTGAGGGCAGCCTCAGTGGAGTGGAGGGGCCATAGCCCCATGGCAGGGGTGCAGGAGGGATCGGAAGGAGGGCAGGTGTCTAAAGAGGGAGTCTCATCTATCCACTTGCCCAAAAAGCTGAGGGGCCACTGGGTACCAGGGGCCATTCTGGAACCTGGGAGATGGTAGTGGACACATAGGCGAGACCCCTGCCTTCATGGTGGGTATTTTAGGAAGACACAGTATTTTAGAAGGAGGACTCATTTTAAGGACAGTTGTTACCATCATCACCATTTGACAGAGAAGGGCCAAGAGAGGTCAATGGCAACTGGTACAAGTTCACACCAATGTCAGAGCCATGGGCCAGGCCCTGACCCATCTGGCCCTTCCCACTCTCTGCTGCCTGAAGGGGATGGACTTTAGGTGGGAACGGAAGACACAGAAGGCATCATAGGGTGGAGAAGAGTAAACGCACCAGGGGCAGGATTATTGATGGCTGAACCGGGCCTACCCAGATCAAGGTTTCTATTTATTGAGCCAGAGCCTTGAGAGGTGGCCTGTGGTAGCCTCCACACTTCCCCACACTCCCACCCCTCTTATTTAGGAGAACATCTCCCTTTCCTGTGGGAACCCTGATCCACACGGTTCAAGTGGGCCTGCAAACATCTCCACACGCACTTGTTAGGCACAGGAACCCAAACAAGGCTGACCAGTGTCCCTCCATGGATTATATAGAGAAGCTGGAAAGAGACAAATTCTTTTTCCTCTGGGACAGTGAGCTTGGGAACCAGGGTAGGCCACCCACAGTCACCTTGACTACCTGAAGTAAACACCAGGCAGAGATAAACAGGGTCAAGAAATACAGGAGATTGAGTTCTGATGGTATCGCTTGGGCTCCTGGATCCAGTTCTGCCTGAACCATGAGAGACTCTTGAATGCTGAGAACAAACCGAGGGCTGATGGGAGTGGGAGAAAGGGGAAAATGGGTGATGGGCATGGAGGAGGGCACTTGTTGGGATGAGCACTGGGTGTTATATGGAAACCAACTTGACAATAAATTATTTAAGAAAAAAAAAAAGAACAATCCCAGACTTCCTGATGGCTTGAACCAATGAATTGTCCCTTTGCCTCTAGATTTTGAGTTTCTGTACTTGCAACAGAAAGAATCTGACCAATATATAGTTTCTCATACTAAGTCAGCTGGGACTGTGTCAAATCTATGATTTACTGCTGCAGAAGCTAACCGATTCCAGGGGCTTCCTCCACAGAGCCATATGTATGTGCCTCCTTCTAGCTACTGGCTCTGCAGGTGGCAGGGAGATGAGTAAGACGTGAGCTTAGAGAGTAGCTGTGGAGACGATGACGGAACAAAGGAATCACTGTCTATAAAGTGCTTCACACTCATTTCCCCAAATGCACAATCACAGGCAACAATTAAGCTGGCAAATCCACGTAGGGTTCAGCAGGTACAGACTGAGCTGGAGAAACAATGCTCCAAACTCAGAGGAAGGTGGAGTGGGAAGAAGGGGGGGAGGAGAGGGTGCATCCTGCATCCTGGGCTCCTCTAACACTATTCTGGGCGGCTGAGCTAAGGTGGGGCTGGAGGTGGACAGAGAGAGAGGGGAACAAGTAGTGGGGAGGCTGTGTGAGTATTAATGTGACTATAAGAGCTGCTTCTCATACCTTTCCCATTCCAGCGTGGGCGTGTCCCAGCTTGACCACCACAGGGAAGTGTGGGGCTGTGAGCTGGAAGAGACAAGAGGAAATCGCTCATTAGCATCCCAGAGCACTGCCACCAAGACTCAGGACATCACCTGTTCTGGAGAAAGATTCAGTCATCTGCTATTACCAGGAATCCCCACAAGAATGCCTTGACAGATGGTCACCCTAAATGCCAGTGAATTTGGCTTCCAAAGGAAGCTCTGAGTATTTAAAACCAGCCTGCCTGGGGCACCCACCATTCTGGAGAGAAGGCAGGGAGGTTTCAGATCCTGGCTTTACCACTTGTGTAACCACAGACAAGCTCTGCAAGGATTGCGGCTCAGTTTCCTCATCTGTAAAACAGGGATGATGAGTATCCACCCCATAGGGTTGCTGTGAGGATGAAACAAACTATTACATTGGAAACATTTACATTGTAAGTGCTCAGTGAATGGCAGCTTCATTATGCCATCCAGTTCTGCCTTACGTTATCTTCCAAAAAGCCTTCAAGTATCTGGAAACTCATTTCCTCCCCCAAGCCCCTTCCAGGCCACCCTATGGAGGTTTCTTAATAATAATGGCCATGCCCACATGGGCACACACGTTTACTGGCTGCACTGCGCTGGGCATGTTCTGAGTGACTGTCCTATATCATCTTATTTGGAGAGCCATGTTACTTGTGTAGCTGGCTCCCCATAGCAACCTCAGTTCCAAGAACACTGCCTGACCCAGGGAAGGCGCCTAGTCTTCTCAGTAAGACCTGTTAGAGGCATGCATGCTTCACCTTATGATACAGAGAACGAGAGGGGGCTCCAAAGACTAGGCGCTTACCTATCCCTACCCATGGTCATTCTGCTGGGAAGGTTCAAAGCCAGGCTGTGCATGCTCCTTCATTCTGTTCATCTGTTGTTTGAGATACATTTGTCTGGTGTCTGGAATTCTGTTGGGAAATGTTTGAGGGCAAAGCTTCTCCCTTCTAGTTATTTAGTAATAATATCACTCCCCATACTTGGATCAGCCCAACCAGGGCTGATCATGTTACTCTCTGTGCTGTCTGTTCTGGTGCTGCTCACTTTGTCCTGGCTTGTCTCCTGACAGTGCTGTCCGGCTTGACCCTCTGGGTGCCTTAAGAGGAGGAACCCGGCTTTTCTCTCTTGGTCCCCAGAGTCTAGTCTGACCTGGAGGCTGTAGGTGCCACAGAAGGGTCCACTGTGGGTCCCAGAGCCATTTGATGGGCCTCATCTTATTCTACCCATGCAGTGGCTCCACCAGGCAAGCAGGAAAGGTATTTTTTATCACCATTTCACAGGTAGGAACACTGAGACTCAAGGTGGGGGCAGGAAAGGTTGGAATTAGGACCTGAACTTGGGTCTGTAAGACTCTAAGCCTGATGTGAACCGTTTCCCCTAAGATGTGGCTCAAGGCTTCCTGCAGCAGACGCTGAATAAAAAAAATTCCTCCTTAATTCTGGCTAACATTGATGGTATCTTGGTTTCTAGAGAGAACAAATGCATCTTTTTTTTTTAAAGGGCAATATTTGACTTCGATTCCAAAAGCAATATGTGCACACTATAAAAAGTTGGAAAAATATAATAAAAGTGCTATGTTTTTATTACACAGAAGATAATAAAAATCACCCTTAGACGTTTAGCAGTTTAGGTGTATTATCTGCTGATCTTCTTTTTTATAAATCCATATTTTTTTCATTTGTTCTACATTGAGAGCATAGTGAATATCCAATTTCACTTCATGTTCCTTCCACTTACTGTTTTGTGATAACCATCTTCCCCATGGTGATTACTTGACAGTTCAATAGTTATTATAAAACATTTCACATGAAAAAAGACTTATGGATGGACACTTAGGCTCTTTCCATGTTTTAGCTATTGTTGAGAGTGCGAATGGATCAGGAAGATGTGGTTTATCTATACGATGGAATACTACATGGCAATGAGAAACAATGAAATCTGGCCACGTGTAGCAACATGGATGGACCTTGAGGGTGTTATGCTGAGCGAAATAAGTCAGGCAGAGAAGGACAAATATCATATGTTNCATGGATGGACCTTGAGGGTGTTATGCTGAGCGAAATAAGTCAGGCAGAGAAGGACAAATATCATATGTTTGCACATATAGGAGGATTAGGAGGAACTTAACGGAGGACCATGGGGGAGAAGAAGGGGGGAAATGGTGGGGGAAAGGGAGAGAGGCAAAACATGAGAGACTCTTGAATGCTGAGAACAAACTGAGGACTGATGGATGTGGGGGAAAGGGGGGAGATGGGCATGGAGGAGGGCACTTGCGGGGATGAGCACTGGGTGTTATATGGAAACCAATTTGACAATAAACTATTTGTAAAAAAATAAAAAGACTTATGGAGCAATATCATGGATACCCCCTCACTTAAGAAACAAACCACTGCCCACATACATGAAGCCCCTGATGTGCTTTCTTATCACACTCCCTCCCTCTCACCCAGAGGTTAGAGTCATTACACAAATTTTGTGTTTAGTAATGACTCGCATTTACTCATATTTTAATTATTACATAGGAGTCTCAAACAATATACACTCCACAATTTTAAATTTTATGAAAGTGTTATCAAAAGAATCTATTCTTGACAACCTTTTTCACATACTATGTTAGTGAGATTCACGTGTGCCCATCTACGTAGTGTGGATTCATTTTTACTGCTATTTTATGAACACATTACCATTTGTTCACTTCCTGCTGATGAACGTTTAGGCGATTTCTATTTTTCCAATGACAAATAATACTAGTACAAACATTCTTCTTTAATGTTTCTTTATTTATTTTTGACAGAGAGAGAGAGAGAAAGAGAAGGGCAGAGAGAGAGGGATAGAGAGAGAGAATCCCAAGCTGTCTCTGTGCTGTCAGTGCAAAGCTCTCTGATGCGGGTCTTGAACCCACGAACCAAGAGATCATGACTTGAGCTGAAATCAAGAGTCAGAAGCTTAACTGACTAAACCAGCCAGGCATTCCGAGACTAGTACAAACATTCTTGAGCTCCATCCCCTCTGCACATGCAGGGGAGTCTCTCTGGGGAGGTGATCAGGAGAGGAATTGCTGGGGCCCAGCAAAGCTCCTCTTGGTTTGGCTAGATATTGCCAAATTTGCTCTCCAAAGTGGCTCTACTGACTATGGTCTTTCAGGCAGGGAAAGAGCTCCCAACACCAGAGGTTGGAAAGACTTGAATTTCACCAACTCGAGGGATGTGAAGTAAATGAATGGGTGCATTTTCACCAAGTGGCTTTTGTTCTGCAGCAGAGCTGTCACACCCAGCCACCCACTCATAGAACCTGGAGACCTCCAGCAGTCCGAGAACTTCCCGGGTCACTACTGGGGCTTTATCTCCATGTCACTGTAAGATGGAGTGTGAGGTGAGGGGGAATGGGTGTGCTCTGTCTTCCCCTCCTCTTCTCCCAGCCTGATTATCTCCCCATACACTGATGGGTACCGGAAAGAATGTGGATGTTGCAGTTAAACTTACTCTCTAATCTGGGGCTAGATATTTAACCTCTTCAGAACTTAGTTCTCTGATCTGCAAAATGGGAATGATAATGCGTAACTCATGGGAGTGTGTTGGGGGAAGAAGAAATAAAATGAGGGTTACTGTAAAACTGCCTAGCACCAAGGGGAGGTTCGAACTCAAAGAGTAGAGTAGGACTGAGCTGAGGAAGGAGCTCTGTGGGGTAAGGAGATGAAGGAATGCAGGGGGGAGGAAGGAAGAGAGCTAGAGGCTGCTGCTTGGTAGTGTGTGATAGCATGGCAGAGGGGGAAATGAAGGCCAACAAAGGAAAATCAGGGAATTATGCCCGAGGGAATGATCAGAGGTAATTAAAAGCTGTGACACTTTTAATCTGGAAGAACCCAGCAATCATCTTGCATAGCCCCTACGTGGCCATGTGGTAGTAGGTAGAATTTCTAGGAATGCTCCCTAAGATGTCCCCCTCTAATCTCTGGAGGCTGTGAACATGATAAGGTCTTCATGCAATGATTGTTTTATGTCATACAGCACACGTGACCCTAAAGTATGGAGATTATCTGGGAGGACCTAATCAGGTCACATGAGCCCTTAAGAGCAGAGAACCATCTCAGGCCGGAGGCAGAAGAGGGAGGCAGACAGATTCAAAGTGTATGGAAGCCTCAGTGCACTATTCCTGCTTTGAGATGGAGGTGGTCACTAGAGAAGGAATGTGAGCAGCCTGCCGGAGCTGAAGGCGGCCCCTGGCTGACAGCCAGCAAGGACGTGGGGACCAGCGGTGTACTGCAGCAAAGGAATGGATTCTGCCCTAACAGGAATGAGCTTGGAAGGGAAATCTTGAGCTCCCGAAGAAAATGCAGCATGGTGGCGCTTTGATTTCGGCTTTATGAGACCCTAAGTGGAGAACCTTGACCTGCCATTCCGGACCTCTGATCAGCAAATCTGTGAGATAATAAAGAGGTGTTCTTTCCAGCTGCTTGATTTGTTAGTGCAGCAATAGGAAACTAATACATGTGTGTGTCTTCCCAGAAACTGAAGCCCAAAGAGTAAAAAGTGACTGTTTTCATGCCATACAATAGCAAAATGAGAAGTCAAGGCCGTGAGTTTCCACTCTCAGTCAAGCACCCTCTCTATCAAGGCACACTACGGGGCACCAGGGTGGCTCGGTTGGGCGGGCGACTTCGGCTCAGGTCATGATCTCACGGTTTGTGGGATTAAGCCCTGCGTTGGGGTCTGTGTTGACAGCTAGCTCAGAGCTTGGATCCTGCTTCATATTCTGTGTCTCCCTCTCTCTCTCTGACCCTCCCCTGCTCAGGCCTGTCTTTCTCTCTCTCAGAAATAAAGAAAAACATTAAAAAAAAAAAAAGGCATACTTCTCTCGGGACCACATGCATATCCAGAGTGCAATAAATTCTTTCTCTTAATCATGAAGATCAATAAAATAATATCAAATCAAATCAATTCATGAACTGAGTGATAGCTATGTGGCTGACACTGTGTTTTAGGCTGTAAAGGAATGGTGGGCAAGCCTGGGGTGGGT